ACAAAAAGGACATTTGCTCAACCATGTTTGTAGCAGCTTTATTTGTAGTAGCCAGAAGCTGGAAACAGCCCAGATGCCCCTCAACTGAAGAATGGATGCAGAAATTGTGGTACATCTACACAATGGAGTATTACTCAGCAACGAAAAATAAGGAAATCATGAAATTTGCAGGTAAACGGTGGGACCTAGAAAGGATCATCCTGAGTGAGTTGTCTCAGAAGCAGAAAGACACACATGGTATACACTCACTCGTATAGACATATAACATAGGATAAACCTACTAAAAACTGTACATCTATAGAAACTAATCAAGAGAGAGGACCCTGACTAAAATGCTCAATCCCCATCCTGAAAGGTAAAGAGGATGGACATCAGAAGAAGAAAACAGGAAACAACCCCGGAATCTGCCACAGAGGGCCTCTGAAAGCCTCTGCCCTGCAGACTATCACAGCAGACACTGAGACTTATGGCCAACTGTTGGGCAAAGTGAATGGAATCTTATGTAAGAAGTGGGAAATAGTAAGAGCTTGAGAGGACGGGAACCACACAAGGAGAGCAACAGAATCAGAAAATTTGAACACAGGGAACATCCCAGAGACTCATACTCCAACCAAGGACTATTCGTGGAGATGACCTGGAACCCCTGCACAGATGTAGCACATGACATTCAGTGTCCAAGTGGGTTACATAGTAATGGGAAGAGGGACTGCCTCTGACATAATCTGATTGGCCTGCTCTTTGATCACCTCCCCCTGAGGGGGAGCAGCCTTACCAGGCTACAGAAGATGACAATGCAGCCACTCCTGATGTGATCTGATAGACTAAGATCAGAAGGAAGGAGAGGAGGACCTCCCCTATCAGTGGACTTGGGGAGGGGCATGTGTGAAGAAGGGGGAGGGAGGGTGGGATTGGGAGGGGAGGAGGGAGGGGCTTATGGGGTATACAAAGTGAATAAAGTGTAATTAACAATAAAAAATAAATGATATTTGAAAAAAAGTTAAAAAAATGTTCACACCCTAGATTTTAAGAATTCTTGTGTTCTAGAGACCTCACATTTGAAAGAATCACTGCACCATTAAGCAGGAAGATGAGGCAGTGTGGCTTTGCTGATTGAGATCTTTGATTGACTCTTGCAATACACATAATTTTCCATTAATACCAATGTTAAGAACCAATACCTCAAGTACTCATGTGGTGAGTTACTAACTGTAGCTCTTGGCTTCCATAATAATGATGAAAGGATTTGATCATATACTAGGAACTGCCAGAAGTAAAGAATGGATTTGCATTTAGGATTAACTCAACTGAGGAACCTGTTGCTAATCTCTGCTTCTTGGCAGATGCGGTGAGGGGCAGCAGGGGTCTCACTCATCTCCATCATGGTCCAACTACAATATGTTGCTGTGACTCCCAGTGGGGGAGGGGTGGGTTTGGGAGTGATGCTTGCAGATGAGGCAGGCCTTACAGTAGGCTAAGACTTGGTTCGACAAAGGAGATCTGTGGCCAGATCTGTGGATGGAGAGAGAGGAGGGGCAGTACCTGTAAAGGAGTTCTTCCAGCAGCCCGGGGGCGTGGAAGCTGTGTGTGCTTCTGAAGTGTAGAGATGGGTCCTGGAATGAGGAGAGTGATCCTGCAGCCATCTGGAATGGGGCCCTCTATGTGGAGGGGTCATGGACAAACCTGGGAGAAACTGAGTCACCAGGGGCCACCAAATGCCTACAAAGCCATTCTCAGGAAAGAAGCATAAAGTCAATTCTAATCCCAGCTCCAACAACCCAGGGGGTAAGAGAGAGCAATCCTCAGAGGGCTCCTGCAGTCTCTGAAGATACTGGGTATTAACTGGCAAAGCAGAGGTGGGGCAGCCAGAGACCACACACCTTAATGTTCACAGAGCCTATGAGCATGCAGGGATGTGTCTCTGATTGAGGATTAAAGCACTAACCAAAGACAATCAATCCAGGAGACATAAAGCAGACTGCTGCCTTATGTGAACAGAGTTCCTGTGCCTTCCTGAGGGACAATGACGTCAAAGTCCTACATCACACACCAGACAGCACTGACTCTGGTTCCCTCTGATTTGTTGATGAGGCAGACATGGCTAATCCATTTTTAGTATTATCATAATACTTTCACTCATTAATGTATTCAATAATGATTTGTTTTAAAAAAAGAACCTTCCTGGATTAGAGTCTAAGACACTCTAGACACACACTATGTTATTCAATGACTCACCATTACCATCATAATAAAGTTTAGACTCCACTGCATGGGGAAAGGATCATTTACTATCTTGCCTGGTCTACACCTGGCCTGCCTCAGCACATCAGGCTGCAAGTACTGTTAGGACTGGGTTCTATCTCTCATTTAATTGTTCTCAGTTTAGTATGTCCACATACTAAGCCCTTCATAAATATGCATTAAATAAGTGACTAAGTGCATTAAAATTTTTAATCATTCCTTTGTATACTGACTTCTTTATGTGTAGGATAGGGTCTCCGTTTTTATGTTTCTAGTGTTGGGCCTGACGCTTATAAAACCAGTCGAAATGAATTCTGCAACATTTGGGTTTTTCACCTTGGAACCTTGTAACACCTCTTGTAAACAGATAATTTTCAGTCATCCACTTAACCATAAGAGATGGGGAGGGTGGAGTGGGGTGGAGGGGGAGCCTAGGTAGTGTGTGTGTGTGGGGAAGGGGGCTTTCCAAACAATGACTACCCTGGCTATCCTTGAGCTAGGCTTATGCAGCCTTCTGTACACTTTCTTGGCCTTCATTTCCCGGAGCCCAGATCTACAGCACAGTGTAGTGGTGTTGGCTCTCAGGAGAGAAGGTTCTGAGTTCCACTGCCAGGTCTCCAGCCATCTCTGAAGCTTGGCTCTAGGTTGTTTGTGGACTTACCTTGGAGCAGGCAGAGCACGAGGAGGAGTATTTTCCATCTTGATCTCAGGCTGGTGACCTGCAACCAAAGAAAGACAAGAGGCGGGAGGGAGGCATTTGAGAAGCTGGTTGAGTGGCAGGGTCCAGGGCTGGGCACTCTTGCTGTGGAAGCTCGGTTTGCTCCAGCAGTTGGGTAGCTCTGCCTGACAAAAAGGACCAGAGAACTGTCTGTCTTGGGTAGCAGGAGCTCTGCCCTGGAGCTGCCGGCAAGGTTACATTTCCCTTACTCATGAGATCACTGTATTCAAAAGAGACAGCCCCAGGATCTGCTCCCCGGGGGGAACTCTGAATTGGGGTGGGTGTGCAGAGTGGAAAGAGTGTAGGAGCAAAGTGTGACCTGTGATGCTCAGAAAGGGCAGTGTCAGGGATCTGACTCTTCTCTGGGGAAATCAGCAGTTCTGAGTAACTGGTGGACACTGTGTATGGGGTACAGCATTCCTGGGATGTAGGCTATCACTCCTTTCTTTTTTCCTCCTTGCCTCCTTGCAGAGGGGAGTTATTTATTTCAGGGGAAGCCTTTTGTTTCACTGTTCATGCACAACTGAATTAAAACTAACCCTTTACCCTGTTGGCACTAGGATGCCATTCTGTTTCTTCTCCACAGTCTCTAGAAAGCCCTCTTGGGCCTTCCCCATCTCCATTTGACTGTCTGTTCTACATTCTCCCATTGGCCATGGGAGCTCACTGGAAACAGAGCCTTGTGTCACATGCTTCTACTTTGAGGCTCTGAAACAAGATCCAGAGCAGAGTGTAAGCCCTGTGGACAGCTGCATGGAATAGGAGCCCAGTGCTATGTCAGGGAACCCCAAAGAGATGACTTCTCAATGATTACAATGATTGAAGTTGTGCCTTGTACACATTTCCTATATTCTCTGAGGATTTTCATGGGTGTTTGGCTGCAGTTCTCTGGACCCACGGGTGGGTTTTTTTTTCCTTTAATGTGAATGCACAGTTTACCAGTCTTAAGAACAATCAGTGCACCAACTTTAAGTCATTTGGCACACAGGCAAAAAACCCTCTTCACTCCCAATTATACACAGAGAGCCACTGGCTGTACTGCAGGATTGAATCAGAGGAGAAGAGGGAATAGAAGTGGGAAGATAGCAAGTAGGAGAAATGGAAGAGTTAAAGGATCTGAGCCAGAAGAAGGAGAAGGGAAGAGAGAGGAGAAAAGGGAAAACCAAGCCAAACCAAACAAGACTCTAGGCTAGGCTCCTGCCACTTGTCATCTGGCTTGTCTCTAGTCTGCCACATCTACTAGAGCCTTTGGCTGCACTACTGTCTAGGGGACCAGGTTGGCTACTTTGGAGAGACCCAGCTTTCTTACATCTTTCAGCTCCATCCCCACCACAATTTATCATGTCCCCTCCCATGGGCACTGTCAAGGGCAGTTTCTGCCCTTCCCTGCCTTACCCCAAGCTCTCCAAGCTCTCTCAGGGTGTGGCTGTACCTAGTCCCCACTTTGATTAATATTCACCAAATCCAGGTTCCCTGCATGGCTGTCATTCTGACACCCTGGGCTACTGTTTCCAAAGTACCAAGTCCTAACACAGTTCACATGAAGGCGACGTCGCTATGCCGCCCAGTTCTTCTGAAGCTCGATTGTGTTTCAGGAGCAAAGCTGTGTCTATAGAGCAATAAGGAAGCATAGCATGTGATAAAATAAAATAAAGTCTCTAGCTGCTTATCAGTACTGATAGGGGGTTGGAAGGATATCATTCCATGGAATGTTTCTTGTCACCCTCCCTGCCAATGACCTTCAGGAATCTTTTCTGCTGGAGAATGGGGGGGGGGGTGTCCCAGGCCTTTGTTACCTTGTACCACATTTAGAATTTATCATCCTGTGCTCCCCAAGTCCTGTCAAGAAGCACAGATACCCTGTTTTCATCACAGGCTGGTGTGTGGATGTTCCTGCCCACCCTCCTCTCCTCTGAATCTCACTTCTCTTCTATCTTCATCCCCATCCCCTGGGATGCCCTGCCATGTGCAGAAGGAAGAGCACAGCATCTTGGCTTGTCTTTGCTGGAGGCTGCTACGTTGACCTGATGCTTATTCCTCTCCACTAGAAAAGAAGATCTCTGCCGGGTGGCCATGTGTTCTGCATCTAATGTGTTTTCCGGTTCTGTCTCACCAAGGTTTCAGACTCAGTACACTTTGCTGCAGCTAAGAAGAGGGTACAGGGGAGAAATGTGGGCCCTGAAGGCCCAAGTCTTCTCTGGCCTTTGGAAAGAGCCTACCTGCCCTGAGGAGGGCCTGGGAGCACAAGTCACAGTTGATGCTGTGACTTACTACCCATTTTTTTTAATAAAAAACCCCTGGAACCCCTGCACAGGTGTAGCCCATGGCAGCTCAGTGTCCAAGTGGGTTCCATAGTAATGGGAACAGGGACTGCCTCTGACATAATCTGATTGGCCTGCTCTTTGATCACCTCCCCCTGAGGGAGAGCAGCCTTACCAGGCCACAGAAGATGACAATGCAGCCACTCCTGATGTGATCTGATAGACTAAGATCAGAAGGAAGGAGAGGAGGACCTCCCCTATCAGTGGACTTGGGGAGGGGCATGTGTGAAGAAGGGGGAGGGAGGGTGGGATTGGGAGGGGAGGACAAGGGGGCTTATGGGGGGATACAAAGTGAATAAAGTGTAATTAATAAAAAAAATAAAGTGCTTTTTGACATGCTAAAATAAAAGTGGTAATTTCATTTGTTGTCGTGTTTCCAATAAAATGGATGTGGAATGCTCTGCTGGATTCTAGGTTTACATTTGTCTTTACTTTGACTACTTTCTCACTGCCATATAGCTTCCATCATTTCTAATGAAAGTCTACATGTTAATTTTGTTAATGTGCTGGTTTTCTCTTGCTGTTTCCTCTTGAAAGCATTTTCTGTTTGTTTGTTCGTTTGTTTTTTATGTTTCAATATTTTCACTATGGTATCTCCAGGTCTTTTGAAAAATAACCTTCTTAAATTCAAGTGAGCTTCTTGAATGTATAGATTAAACATTATGTCAAATTTGGAAAACTCTGATCACCTTTTCTCTGAATAATTTTCTCCTCCTTCATCTCTCTTTTCCTTTTGACACTTTTGTTAATCTTTCTCTTGTTCTCTGTTCTCTCTGTGCTACAAATCACACAATCTCTAGCATTTCTATCTATAAAGTCATTGATTCTCTATTCCTCTCTACTACCCATTCTTAGAGCAAGACCCAGACTGCTAGAAGAAAGCCGTGTTACCTTTTGTGCTCTGGGCTTAGCTGGGATGTCTTGGTCCATGTTAGTCCTGAGCAAAGTTGAATTGGACTTTTTCTTTTATTCAGGAGATGCTGGTATCTGGGTATCTTCTGGTGGGTTCCTCTGAATCTGGAGATTGACGGGCAGGATAATGTGTTATGGCAATAGGAGCTGGATCTGGAGACTGAGGCAGAAGGGAAAGCCATGCCACTCACCTCTGTGCCAGATGTATCAGGGTCTCTTCTCTCAGATTTTGCTGATGAGAAAGTCAGTTCTGGTCTCTTGTCCTCACTTTCCTAGGGCTGGTGACAGTAGTGTCAGGGAAGCACATCAGTACTTAATCCCCATCTTGCCTTCTCTTATACCCTGTGCGAGGTCCCAGATGTCTTCGGGCACCCTGACTCAGCAGCCTTCTTAGGAGCCTCAAGAAGCAGTGATGTAATCAGCTGAGCAGGAGAGAAGGGGATTTCAGGGTTCAGGAGAGGAATTTCCCCCCAAAGCTGGCCATCAGCTGCTGCCCCACTGCTGACTGGACACTTCTGCTTCTGTGGAAACCATGTTTGAGTGGTTTGCTTCAGTGACTTTAGTTTAAATTCATGGTGTGGTGTTTACCAACGTGTGTCCTGAACAAAGAACAATAGAACTAATAAAATGCTCTTCACAGAAAGAGAACACAGACAAGTAGATGATTCACTTAAAAAGCACCAATATTTCCCCTTGGGAAACAGTCTGTGGAGGCTCTTTTTTTTTTTTTTTTTTTTTGTAAACAATATGATGTTCCTAGGACTCTTAGTCTTGAACTGACACAACCTAAGCACTCAAAACAAAGGGGCTCAAACGAGGAAGGATGCTGCAGGACCCTTTCCAGGACCCCTCACAGATCATTATGACCCTTGGGCCATCAAAAGGCCCTGAGAATGAATTCAGTTAGTGCTTCGTTACATAACATGAGCAGCCATGGGTGGTTGTAGATATTATCCATGCTTCTCCAAGTATAAAGACATTAAAGTAAAAGTAGGATTCTTGAAGTATGGTAGTCTCTCTCTCAGTCTTCCTCTCTCTCTGTGTGAGTGTGTGTGTGCACATGTGTGGGCGCACAGTGCACTGGTGACTATAATAGTTATGTTTTTTGGTATGCCAGGAGTTGGCCAACAAGCTCCCACTTCAGAGTGCCTGGTCTTCATGGTAGGCAATAGACTCTTGCTTAAGTTAGAATACTACTAATTGCAAGTTTTTTTTCTATGCCCCCCCTAGCTCTTGAATAATGACATGGAGACCTTTATGTTTATTAAAAGCTTCAGGCATTTCAGCTGGGCATATATTCAGCTATTCTAACACTGGCCTGGCCTACTTCCAGTCATGTGATCCATTACCTTCCATCCTAGTCTTACTCTGGCACCTGCTTCTTCATCCCTGTTCTGATGGTGACTCTCCTCTCTCTCTGGTCCCCACCTGGGACCCCCTCTCTCTGCCCTGAAGTCCTGCCTTCTACTCCTGCCTCAGCTTATTGGCCATGAGATTGTTATTAAAACCAATCAGAAGGGAATGGAGAACAATGTTTACAAAGCATCAAGACAAGGGATGCTTCATAAAAATGATGATCCCAAAGTCTGACACAGAAATCAGCATTTAAAAATACAAGAATAATCTTTACATGCTCTAACAGAACACACCTGTCATGTGAAAGGCATTCTCTTAGAAGTGGCACCCTTGAGCAGTGTGTAATATGAGGAACTGTACATGCTCTGCTCTCGAAAGCTCATCCCCAGAACTAATAATGCGGTGGTAGAGAGGTAGCTAAGGCCTGCCTTCCCAGTCTCTTCTCCTTAGGAAGCACAACACTGTGTTGAATCACATAGACTTTGAGGCCAGGCCCCCTCCACCCTCAAGTTTTTTTGTTTTTTGTTTTGGTAGGAAAGTAATACAGGCCATATTATTTATTCTTTTTAAACCTTATTTTCCTGATATGTTAATCAAGAACTAACAGCTCTTGCCTCATAAAGATATCATGTTGAATAAATGCAAAACAGTGCAATAAATTCTCATGAGATGCCAGCCACTGTTAGTAGCATTAGCTTAGTGTATGGCAAAAGAAAGCATGTGTCTTATACTAACCAAATGCTAAAAATCCCTCGCAAGTTTTCATCTGTTCATGAATCCCTCCTTCCCTCTTCCTTTGTTTTCCCCTTCTTTCCTTCCCTTCCTCCTCTCAGTTTGATATTTGAAAGACTAAAATTAAAGTAGTTTCAGAATGTTACTAAGGACTGGAGAGATGGCTCAGCAGTTAAGAACACTGATTGCTCTTCCAGAGGACCCCAGTTCAATTTCCAGCACCCACATGGCAGCTTAGAACTGTCTATAATTCCTGTTCCAGGGGGTCTGACACCTTCACACAGATATACCTGCAGGAAAACCACCAATGTACACAAAAATATAAATAAACAAATCATAAAAAGAATGTCACTAAATTAAATTTATATTTTAATTTTATAAATGGTACATATTAAAGAAGTGTCTTCAGAATTCAATCGACTTTGCAACAGTTGGAAGACTTTGAAGTTACTAGAGTCACAAATAGTTGAATCACACTGGGCTACTTTTCAAAGCACAGAGCCAAGATGTTTTGGCTCTGAAGTTTTATGAGAGAGAGAACTTTGTACTGGCTCCTATTAGGATGAGGGTGTAACTTAATTTCCTTGCCCAGAACAAACTCTGTGGTGGCTCACTCATGTTGGCTTTGACCATATTATGATCCCTTTAGTTCACAATCAGGCTGAATAATCTTGTGAACATCTGTTAGCCCCTTTCTTCCTGCTCCTCCATCCCCCAGGGTCTTAGTCCTAGTTTTAGCAAATGGTTGTATTTGATGAACACATTCACAAAACTAAAAAAGCATCAAACAGAAAGCTCAGCTCTGAAACCCACAATGGAGAGCAATGAATGGAGGTGTTTGGGGTTGTTTGCCCAGACTTTGTCCCTTTTTTGCCAGTCGAGACTTACATTCATGCTGCATTATGCAGCTTTTTTATCCCTTATACCTGGTGCTTTGAAGTCCTTTTCCCTGCCCTCATTATCTGCTGGAAAGATAAACTTTCCTTTCTTGTCAGTGTTTTAAGGACTGGAAAACCAACCCCATCATCGTAAGTCCTAATCACCTACTCAGAACCTCACAAAGAAAGTTGAACTATAAGACTTGTCATCACTCCAAATAACAACAGAGAAAACTGTTTGCATAGCTTAAGTACTCATTTTATAATGGCATTTATCAAATTTTTACAACTGCAACCATAATTTAGCTGATAGTAGAGATTGTGACCCAGCAATATTCAAGCCTGAAATCCAACAGCATTCTGAAGGGCATTAGGAGAAGGTTGAGTTCCTGTACAGTCTTCCCACAGAGGGGGAACAAAGGATATCATGAGAGCCTTTCAGGAGTGGGAGCAAGCTGCCTAAAAATGTCCTCAGGAGTTCACACCAGAATGTTTGGTGTGGATTACTGTAAGAAACAGTCCCTAGCTCTTACCACCTTTCCAGAGGGTGAATCTGGGAAGTAAGAGGGACGTCCATACTGGTTGAAATTGTTTGGTTAAGATCATAGATCTAATCATTGCCCTTGCAAGATGGAAGGGGCTCTAAGTAGGTGACTTGCTACTGAGGAAGCTGATGGCTTTGTGGAGGAATAAAGCTATACCAGTGATCTGATGTTTAACTCTGTTGCTGGCACACATTTGATAGCAAAGTAACTATCATAGAACTGGGCTTGCAACCAGGTGTGGAAGTACTTGCCTAACGTGCACAAGGGCCTGGGTTCTGTTCTCAGTACCCACAAACAGACAGACATACAGCAGCAATAAAACAGTAGCTAACTCAGATGAGCTTAGCTGAGTGCTGTGCTTTTTGTTCGGGCCATGCACAGACATCACCAGTGAGTGGGATTCCCTGTGCCAGTGCCAACTTGCTAATGTCTTAAGATGGCTGAAGTTTTATGGCCAAGTCATTGTGTCTACTTAGGGGTTTGAGGTGTCTTTCTCAGTGGGCATTGCCTGCACACATTTAGCCTACTCCCGGTATAACTACATGTCTCTACCCTATGTTTTACTCTTTCTCCCTAGGCCTCTGTACATATCTTAATATAAAGCCAGAGGAAGGTATCAGCGCCGGGGAATTGGAATTTCAGTCAATCGTGAGCCACCTTGTGGAGGAGCCTAGAACTGAACTTAGTCTCCTCCAAACTGGTGAGCCATCTCTAACTCCCATTAGGCTCTTTTGTTTCATGTAAAGTAGATAACTAACCAGCCCAGCTAGAGCTTGATCCATTGGAAGGATTTTTTATTTCATTGCCCTCTAAGCCATACTTCTTGTAGTATGTCTGCTGTTCCTTTTCAACTTGACCCATACACCAAACTAGCTCATCTCAGCACCAAGCTCAGCCTTCTCTCTTCTACCATTTGTGTGTGTGTGCATGTGTGTGTGTGTGTGTGCTCCAAGTGTTATGAAAATAAAAGGGAGGAGAACTAAGCATGGGAAAGTTTAAGTGACAGGTAAAACATGGAGAAGAGAAAGGTGTGAAGGGAGAAGTAGGGAGGATTAGTCAAGACAAAGGATGGATGAAGAAGCCATATGGAGACCTATTTGTTTTTAAGCTAATTAAACTACATGCTGATAAGGAAGAGTTTGGGTGAAGGTGCTCTGCATGGGTGAACAATGCTGCTCCAAGAAGCCACAGATTATTATATGAAAATGCCAGGGCCAGGTGTGGGAACCTCCCTATGCACGGCTGACCAGGGAGATGCCAGGGGACCTCCTCCCCCAAGATCAGCTTATTTTCTAGTCATTGCTTTTGGTTATATAGTAGAAGTGGATGTTGAGGCTGGTGCTGAGGACACCACAGACTTTGTTCATAGCTTGTCAAAGAAAGCAGCATTAACCAAACTGGAAGTTTTCTCCCTGATAGCTAGCTTTGATGATGCCAGAAGGTACTATGCAGGCTATCAGAGGAGGAAAGTCATCAATGGCCTTGCTTAGCAGTGGCCCCTGTATGC